CATTCAGGTGTCCCCAAGCAGTGGCATTGCACGCTTAGCACAGAGGGGTCTGGAGAGTTTCTAGCACTCCTACAAGAACATGTTATTCTTCCCCAGGAACCTTGCTCAAAACCACTTCTCTACAAAAGTGCTCTCCAGGAATCATTGCCGGCGGCCTTCTTCTTATGTGAGGGTGTGACCACATCTTGAAACAGATTAAATTATGCAAAATGGGAAGTCTGGACCGTCTCTTGAGTCAATCACCAGAGAGACAAGAACGATGGAGACATGGAAACCTCAAACAAAATTAGACCATGTGGACACTGTGCTTCCTCAACCCAAATTGCATAAGAAATTAAAAACCAGTCCTTTGTCACTTCAAGCCATTGACGTAGCTTGGGGCTTGCTGATGTATTATACATGTTCTGGCTCATTCCATGGAAGTAATGAAATAAAGGATAAATATCAATCCACAAGAAGAAGAACGGCCGATGGTTTGGTATACAAGTAGCCCAAAGATCATTTTGCAAAGCCCAAGGAATCCGAAGTCAACTCTTATTAAAGCCCCATAATCCCCATTCATAGGATGAACCAGAATAACTCGGAGGCAGCCATTGGGATCCATTATGAAAATAACATTCATTTGGAAAATGAGGAACACACCAAAACACAAGTTATTCCAGTTCTTTCAGCTAAATTACACATTAAGCATGCAGACATCCTCTTCCAACATTTTGAAATGGTTCAATATGCACTCGGGCTAGCCAGGGCATGGCTATTCTAAGACTGCCCCAAAGGTGAAGCCTAGGAAAACAAGCACTGATTGCCAGGGAGACATTCAGCCTGGCTGGGGTATTGATCAGTTGTACATGATTGCAACTAGAACTTCTCCCAGGGGGATAGGACTGACACCAAGGGGCAGCTGTGAGCCCCACCTGGCTTCGTGCAAGAACTTATTGGCTGCTCACCTCCAGGGGCTGGTTGGTTGTAATTTGGGGGTGAAATATAGTGGATATGTGTTGTTTTTGCCTCTTAAGCATTCATTTAGGCCTTCTTCTGCTAACAGCTCCCTGAATTTCCTTGGGGGAGCAATCTTTTCCTATTCTTGGTCCATGTTGTAATAGCTAAGAATGGGAACTAAGGATCATTAAGCTCTTACCACATGCCAGGCCTCGTCTAAGCATCTCACATACATTAACTCATTTAATCCTTACACCAACTCCACAATGGCACTATCATTCTCCCCTTTCCAGAGATGCCTCAGCTCTAAGAGAGGTAAACTGCAATTGATTCTTAAATGACAGAACCAAGATTTGCAAATTCAAGCTGTCTGCATAGAGTGCCTATAGTCATAACCACTAGTGTTTGCAGCAGGCTGCCCTCTACCCCAGCTCCAGGGATAGGACCATGGACCAGGTCTGGCCAGACTCTGCATCTGAGCTCAACTCAGATGAAGGCATTCTACCCAAGTGACATTCAACTTATACAAACAGTGTACACCGAGGATTTATGCTAGAACACCCAGAAATAGAGTCTTGTTTGCTTGTTTCGTCTTCAGAGTCTGAACCTGAGATACAGAAGCCTTGAATGTTTGAGGACTAGCATTTAGAGAGAGCCTAAGGACGAAGCCAACACAGATAACATCAAATTGAGAAGATCTTCATAATAATACTTGAACCCCTGAACTTACTCTTGTCATTGTTCTGTTATAAGAACCAAACAATTCTCTTCTTTCTTAAGCCAGTTTGGCATGCATTTTCTGATATTGGTGACATAGAGAAATCAAGCATTGGTCAAAGAATGTTTTCCATTTAGGTAGCACTCTGCAGTTGACAAACTTTTGCATGTACATTATGTCAGCTTTACATTTATTTAGTCATCCAGTCAATCAACAAATAAATATTTGACGTTCATCTAAATACAATTGTGAACATAAGTCAAGATCATCTCCCTCCCCAGGTATAGTTAGTTCTCATAATTTTATATCTCTCTCTTTTGTAGCACTTCCCTGTAATTATCGGGTTTACTTATACAAAACAGTAAACTCAGAGCACCTCTGAAGTAGAGATTTATTTATCCTAGGATCGCAGATGTCCGCCTGAGTCCCTGACACATATTCGTTCCTCTCACAGTGCTAGTTAGCTCTCTCTCTGGCCTTGGTCATCAAGCAGGGACTAAGCAACTTGTCAGCAAACTCGATTTTTGCACAATTGCAAAGCAGCTCAGGTTAACTTAGAATGAAATTTCTGAAGAGATAAGCAGCTCAGAGGGCCACCAGCAAGTAGGAGAACCCATGGGTAAAATAGAGAGACACATGGGGGTTCAGGCATGCAGAGACTACACCTCAACTGCATTGGCCAGGATGTCAAAGCCCCCACCACTGGACACTAGTTGCTGGTCCCAGGGCCCCTGGGATGCATCCTAGGGCCTTCTTACCTCTGCATCGTCAGCTGAAGAATCACACGCCCTGAGCTCAGGGCACATGCCTCACCTCCCCTGAGACTCACCACAGCAGTTTCCCCAGAAATTTTCTCTTGACCATAAAAATGAAAATTGTCAATGATGAGAATAAAATGAAATTTAAAAAGACTGGTACAAGCCAGTCTTCCCCATCATGAAGCTACAGACTAGTAAATGAGGATCATTAACTAAATCAGGGAAGAAGCACACCGTCCCAGCGGGAAGGAGTCCAGGAACAAGAGGGGTGGCATGTCCTAAGGAAGAGGACGCCGCGTGTGTCAGGCATCCCTGACTGTGTAACAAACAATCCCCAAACTTGGGGGCTTAGCACAAGGGTTTATTTTTACCTCCTGGTTTTAACTGGCTGGGCTGAGCTGGGCGGCTCTGACGGGCTGTCAGTCAGATGGGGTAGAGGTGGAGTCACTGGAAGAACAACATGACCCTAAGTTGACGTGGACTGTTGTCTGGGCCTCAAGCTGGGACTTCTGATGACAGCACCTGCCAGGATCGCTCTGCACAGCTCAGAGCTTGGGGTTCTCATGGAGCAGTGGTTAGATTCTGAGAAGATTCTGGATTCCCAATTCAGTATCCCGAGAGCAAACATTTCAAGAGACTCAGGCAGAAGATGCATCTCAGAAACCACAGTGTTACTTCTGCCCTGTTATGGTGGTAAAAATTTAATCAGAGGGCCTGAATGCCACACATTGTTCACTAGAGCTCATTTTTGGAGACTTTCAAAGAGTAGATAATAGAGGAGCCTGACCTCTTACAAGATGTCAGGGAAGATTTCCAAGCAAAGGCAATGATCTGACGGATGAGTGAGTAGGACCTAATAAAGTAAAGACGTGACCTTTGTTGTAGGATGAGGAAAGAGCATGTGCAAAAGTCCTGCAGCACTGAGAAGCATAGCACATTCAAATACCCAAAGCAAGCAACCAAGGCTAATATAAAAGACTCAGGCAGGCAGACAGTCAAGATGAGGCAGGAGTCATTGGCTGGGACCAGTTCTGCTAAAACATTCTATGAACTATTTTAAATATCTTCTTCTTTATGTTAAGAGTAACCATGGTATTTTTTTTTTCATTTTATTTTATATGGATGTGTTGTAATTATACATAATAACGGGATGGATTCATTCATATTTGTACATGCATGTAACATAATGGGATCAATCTCCTTCCCACAGGACCTCCTCTTTCCCTCCCCTCTTTCCTCCCCTGAATCCTCTTGTTCTACTCTACTGATCTAGTAATGGGAATATTTCAAAGTAGCAATCAGAAAAATATTAGTACACTAAATGAATGAGTGAATGATTTCATCCATTCTACAAATACCTTTTGAACATTTTCCATGGGCCAGGAATAATAAGTGCTATGAATGAAATATCAGTGTGACAGAAGGACCTGGAGTACCAGACAGAAGTACCAGACACGGCAAGTTTTGAGGGCAGAGGAGTTCCAGCGGAGGAATAGAACAGATGCAAAGGCCCTGTGGTAGAAGTCAGCTTGGTGTGTTCTAACAACAGAAAAGGTCATTGTGCCAGAGCACTACTATCCTTATAGGGAAGAATTCAAAGCTGGCTTTCTAAAAATGGCAGGGACACCAGCAATGCTTTCCTATCAGGGCAGCCCATCACCAGGGCTGCGGCTTCAGTGACTCCGGAATGTCTCTTTCTACTAGAATGTTTGGAATGCTCTTTCTATCTGGCCTGGCCCTGCCTGTCCTCAGCTATGAGACTCATCTTTCATCATGTACTTCCAAAGCTCAACAACCCCCAAGGAAGCAATTTGGCTGAATGTTCAAAGAACCTTAAAGATGTTCGTGCCCTTTGATTTCGTGATTCCCCATCTAGGGATCTAGCCAAAGGAAATAATCATAAATATGGAAGAAGATTATCACACGAAGAAGCTCATCCTAGCATGATTTACAATAATGAAAAAGTGCTTATAAATCACAAATTCAAACATAGGGGAAAGATTAAGTAAATTAATGTGCACCTCCTAGACACAGGCATTAAAACCTATGGCTGAAAGAGTGAAATAACACCAGGAAATGCTTGGGTTATAATGGGAAGATTAAACCGAAGAATATAAAGTAGTGTATATGTGATTTCTTTTTGCTATTTTAAAAAGCACACTCAGGAAAAATACAGCAATCATTTCTTTAAGGAGAAATTGCAGGTGATTTATTTTTTCTTCTTTTCCATAATCCTACTTCCTCTAATGAGCATCGTTTCTTTCAAGATGAAAAATAATTTTTTTGAGGAAAAAAATAAATAAATGGGAAGGAGTAGAGATGGGGCTGCAGAATGTGTCACGTGGGGTTTCCACAAAGTGACTGTTCATAATTCCTTTCCCCTTTTCAAAATGCACTTTTGATTTGCCCAAGGCTGAGCTACAAGTTGCTTATCTATGTTCCAAAGAGTCAACCAATCAGGGATAGACAAAAATTCAGGGAAAAAAAAAAACAGTAATGGCTTCCCACAGCCTTCAGGATCAAATGCAAACCCTGCCTTCACGGGTGCTCAAGACTTCTACAAACTAGCCACAAATTACGTTTTCTATTTAAGATTCTTTTTTTTTTTTTTTGTCTCCCAAGATTTTTCTGATGTTCCAACTAACACGAATTTCATTTCCTCCTGCAGATGAGAATCTCATTTGATGGTAGGCATTCAGGCTTGGTGCTCTTCCACCCTGGGCTTAAAGAAGACAGGAACGGAGAGGGGAAGACTACCCGCTCCGTGTGCTCCCATCCAAATCCTACCCATCTTTACCACCCACCTCTAGTCACTATTCCCCAGAAAGCCTCTTCGGATCATGCTGGCCCTGACTGCCTTGCCTTTTCTGCCCACACACGGCATGGCCATGTCTGTCTATTCAGTATACATTTGGTACTAAGCACATCTATCTGGCCTTGACATTGCTCTGCACAGTAAAGGTCTGTGCCTTATTTCCCAGAGGACTAATCAGCTGCTGATAGAAACTTCTTTCCTTCTGGTACCAACCTACCTCGATCCCTCTGCACAGCGCCATCTTGTTCATCAGTGTTCCATAAGGGAATAAACCTGGAGACAGAAACTCATATCTGGGAAATTTCGCTCTGCATCTAGCCAAGGTTCACCCCGATGGAGACATCCTTGTTCCCATAGGTCCTGCTCCACCCTGTCATCTCTACCCATCCACCACCAGCATTTACCAGGCCCAGATCATAAGGACTCCACCCCAGGGCTGGAGGACCCTGCACATGTACTAGCCACAGCCCAGCTAATTCAAGAAAGTTCCCTTTTGTTTTCTTCCCCATGAGACCCCATAAATTACAAACCACCACGTTGCTTTTTTTTTTTTTAAGTGAGACTAAGGTCAGAGTAGGGAAAAATCATGGCTTTCCCCACTCTGAGAAGTGCATGCACCCTGAGGAAGCCTATTTCCCCTGGTGGAACACATCTGTACCATGAGTGTGTGGCTCTGATTTAGAAAACCACTCAACTCCCTGCCAAGAGGCAGAGGCGGCCCCTCTGTACTCCAGCTGCATGTGCCCTGGGCCCCTGTCCCCTTGTTGGGTAGCTGTTGTTCTGCTTGCATCTGGACGGAGCTGAGTCCTACTTGCCCAGCACCAAGAACAGTCCAGGCACAGAGCAGCCCTGACTGCGCGCTTGTGTTGAAAAGCAAATGAATGAATGGCAGAGCCTCGGAGAGCTTGGGGGAGAGGCTGGCTTCCAAGGGTGGGTTTCCAGACAGAGTGACTAACTTCTGCTCCATATGAGATTCCTAGGGCTCACACAACAAATTCCACAAACTTTATGGCTTAAAACAGTTGAAGTTGATTCTTTCAAAGTTCTAGAGACAGAAGTCTTTAATCAAGGGCGACTTTTCCTTGGAAGGCCCTGGGGAGAATTCCTCCTGCCTCTCCCAGCTTCTGGTGATTCCAGGCATCCCTTGGATTCAGGCTGCATCACTCTACTGGTCTCTACTTCTATCTCCCCGGGGTGTCTCTCTCTTCTCTCCATGTCTTTCCTCTGTGTTTCCCCGAAGAGGACCATGGTGATTGGATTTAGTACCCACATGTATAGGCTCATCTTGAGATCATCATTAATTACATTTGCAAAGAGCTTTTGTTTTACATTTTTGCAAAACAAGGTGTCTTTTTGTTTGCTTTACATTTGCAAAGAAGCCAAATCCACAGGTTCTGGAGATTAGAATGTGTATACATCACTGAGAAGGTGAGTGGGTTACAATTCAACCCTTGCAAGCACCCTTTTTCATTGCAGAGATATATCCTCGTGTCATTTATCCAACATCGAGCAGATAGTCACCTGTGAAATGGGAAGGACCAATGGGTGAACAGATGTTCTTCCACTAAACATAACCATTTTGTTAATAGGCACTAGCATATTTAGTTAGTGCCTATTAATAAAATGTGCTGGAAACTATTTTTCCCACCACCTGAGACTAGTGCTTCTAGGACCCCATGCATACTGTCCCTCTGTCCATTCCTGCTAGCATAAAACACCGAAACAGTCATTTGAAGAGAGGACAGATGATTTTACACAGATATCCTGGTGTACTAACTACATCAACTGTTTCAATCAACGTGATCTTGATTATGCACCCAAATTTTGCACTCAGAATTTTCCTAAATGCAGTGTCCTCTCTCCCAGGGCAACAACCTTAAGTTAGCAGCCCTGAGCTTTCCTCTAATATCCTAAACTCTTTTTGAAAGCCAGCCTATGACATCTATCCAAGTCCATCTTCCTAATTTTGGCTGGCCCTCGGGTTAACAGGTACACCAATCATAGCATAGTCAAAATCAAACTTTACCTGAATTTTTATTGACCAAAGCAGGAGAATTGATTTTCAGGGAGAGTAGAGAAGGGAGAGGCAGTGCTATGAGATTTCTTCCCAATGGCCCTATTTTGGAGAAGGATTTCCAATAAGGAACCCAAGGACACGGGGATTCACAAAACCTGTACATCCCTTGTAAATGGTGAGCAACAGGCATTTGGTGACACAGGCTCAGCGTGACACACCCTGTAAATGCTGCTATTTCTGCAGCTCAAATCCCAACATCCATAGAGGACAGAACAAACGCAAGTGAACCCTGGTTACTTCCTCAGGCTCTGCCCTTTGGGAAGGAGTCAGGCACAGCTGCCACTTGGAATTCCACTCCCTAGGAACAATGCACTTTATTTTTGGAAAGAGGGGAAAAGAAAGGAGAGGAGGGCAGTGCCGACAAATATACATTTGCTCTTCTATTTATGCAATGCCCCTGTCCCTTCATCACCTCTGGTACCAGTTGTTTGGAGCAGCTATAGAATATAGGTTTGTGCATCGTCCCTGGCCTGGGTCCCTGCAGAGCAGAACACAGGTCAGCTTCCAGGATAGCACATCCCATTTCTGTAAAGAGCCACACAAATAAAAGGATCATTTCCATGGCAGCCCGTTGGCCCCCATGGCTGTAATAAATGCTCCTCTATAACAAATACTCTCCCCAGATCCTTTCTATGTCAGTCACTCTCCATCGGGATACTGTCCTAATTATAGGATCCTCATCATGTCAGGACAAAAATGACAGAGAAAGGAAAATTGTTCTCTCATTATTGTGCCATCATTTTCTATGTCTTGGTTTGCTACTTCTCATATTGTTTCAAAGGTCTCTTTAAACATGCTATCAAAAACATTATCCTGGGGCTGGGGTTGTGGCTCAGCGGTAGAGCGCTTGCCTAGCAAGTGCAAGGCCCTGGGTTCGATTCTCAGCACCACATAAAAATAAATAAATAAAATAAAGGTATGGTGTCCAAGTACAACTAAAAAATAAATATTAAAAAAAAATTTAAAAATTTTCCAACACATAAAGCCCACAGGTAGAAAAAGGAAGAAGCGAGCAACAGAGGAAGGGAAGGAAGAAAAAGAGGAAGGAAGGAAGGAAGAAATCAAAGGCAAGGAAAAACTTTAAAACAGATCCACAGGGAAAATACTTTGTCCTGCTTACCCCTCTATTCTCCTAACCTAGCCCACCCAGTGGTCTGGGCACATAGTCAGAATTATTTAATGAGTAACTAGAATGAATGTTAAGAATTGTCTAATAATTGCATGAAGCAATAGTTCAAGAATGTCTCAATAACAGTCTCCATCTTCCACCATTTAATTCAGAATCTATTTTGTCCCTTACTAATTCACTTTTAGGAGAGGGATTGAAAATTGGTATTTAATGAACACTTACTATTGACCAAGGAGTTCAACTTCTTATCTCCCATAAATGTACACAATAAACCTCTGTGTGTGCATGCACACACGTGCACTGAGAAAGGTTAAGTTACTTGCCCATGGCTACACCTAATAAGTGGAGGAACAGAAATGTTAACACAAGCATGACTGACTGACTACCGAACCAGGCACACTGGACTCCATTCTGCTGTTTCTCAGGAGATCATCAGGATATGTCAGTAGAGCATTCCTGGTTAAGATGGGACTGTGACTTTCTAGGTTCACTGTAACTCTGACAAAACCATAGGAATACTTGGAGGAGTTGTTCACAGTGATATCTTTATTGTAATGCATAACACTGAGAGGCAGTGTTTTAAATAAGATTGCCAACACCATGTCATTAACCCCCCACCCCAAAGTTTGTTAAAAAAAAAAAAAAGCTGCCTGAGAAGTTAGGATCACATGTTTTACCGCTTATTGGCTATCTTTTTCCTTTTCCTTCAGATTGTGAGCAATCTAAAAGAAAGGGCTCTATTTGTTCTGCTCATGATTGTAACTAGGCCATAGCACTCAATATTTAATGAATGAAAAAGAGAGCAAAGGACCCCCCATGGGGTAGGTGTCTGCACTGGCAGGCAGACTGGCACTCCAGGCCAGCTAGGATGATGTGTGTGAAACTGTGGCCCTTGGTGAATCAAAAGCATGGTCTTAGGAAACAGCTGGAGAAAATGAATTTAGACTATGGAGAATTATTCCCTCCCACTCTGTTATGCTCACATTCCTCCCACGTGGAAGGCCCTGAATCAGATGGAAAGTAGTATTTACTCAAATTCTAAGCCCTTTTTAGAGGTCACTGAGCCTCCTCCAATTTCCCAGACATTGCATATGGTAGCTCTAGGCAGGAGTGGGCTGGGAAAAAACCTTGCTCATCCTTGAAGAACTGAGTCTTCAGAGGTTCAGGACCCTGAGCCAGAGCCAAGGCACTTTCAGATGTGGAGTTGAGCTGAAATATCCCAGCCTTCATTTGGAGCATGGCCTATGGAGACATGAAGGAGTTTTAAACTCCTTGTTTATCACTCGAAAAAAACTGGCCCAAGGTCTCCCAGCTCTTTTGACAGCTGAGCAAGACTCAAATTCAGGTCTTCTGACACCCTCCCATCCAAAATTATTTTCACCATACCAATGGAAGGTGTATGGCAGAGAGCCCACACAGCATGAGGAAGAAAGCAAAGAACACTTGGTCACCACCCTCATTAATAGATATCATTAATAGAGCTAAGTAAAGGACAAAAGGACTCACCTACTTATATTCCCCAGATCCTGGGAAGCCTTGTGTTAGGCCAGAGAATGAAGAAGGAAATGTGTCAAATACTGTCCAAGCTGTTCATAGTGGCCCTCTTAAAGGGGTTTGGAGGTAGGTTGTTGAAGAAGGAACAGCACAGATAGGCTGGGGGTGTAGCTCAGTGGTAGCTACACTGTGGTGGAGCACTTTCCCAGCATGCACAAGGTTCTGGTTTCAATCCCCAGTACTGCCAAAAAGATAAAAATAAAATAAAATAAATACCCAGTGACTCAGGAGGCTGAGGCAGGAGGATGGCAAGTTCAAAGCCAATCTCAGCAGCTTAGCAAGGCCCTAAGCAACTCAGTGAAACCCTGTCTCTAAATCAAATACAAAAATAAGGGCTGGGGATGTGGCTCCATGGTTAAGTGCCCCTGGGTTCAATCCCTAGTACCAAAAAAATAAATAATACAGACATGAAGTCACAAACATAGGTTTGCATCCTGGGCCAGCTACTTGCTAGTTTTATGACTTCTGGCAAATTACTCAACCTCTCTGGGTCTCAGTTTTGTTGTCTGTAAAGTGTGGACAATACCTACTTCATAGGGTTGTTGTTACCTTCAAATAATAATAATGAAAGCAGAACATCTAGCAAGATTCTTGCATAGAGTCTGAAATTGATAAACCTTACCTTAACATGCACCCCCTTTCATCAGTCTGGGAAATAGGAAAAGTAGATGAATTTATGTGAAAAAAAATCCCAGGATACAGAAGGTATATAATTACACTATTTTGTGTACCATGATTGAGTCACAGAATTAAATAAGATTTCAAAATGTTCTATCTTCAACAAAAGGTCACATTTCTCTCCTCAGAGACATTAGCCCACAGATTTCCCCAGGATAAGGGGAAGCTGTGACCTTGGCCTTGAAGAGCTAGATGAGTCCCACTCCAATCCTCCCAGTTGATTGGTCTACACTTGGATTGCTGAACAGGTGTCCCCAGTCCAGCACCAATTAAGTGAACTGTTAAAAGAAGACCTGGACCAAACAGATTTTTTTGCCTCTAGAATTTGCACTGAAAAATACCAGGAGAATGAAGCATTTAGAAATAGAAGGTGAAAGATAAAAGATCTTGAGACAAAATGAATCTTGGGGGGCTGCAATGAATAAGGCAATGTTATGAGGGTCAGAAATAATGTATAAAGTACAAAGACTGAGAAACCCAGTAGGAAGAGAAGAACAAGCCATGGAGAGGTGATGAGTCATGAAACAGAAGAACACCAGAGTCAAGATCCTCACACTCCTAGGACCACCATTCCTGCCACCACCCAGGAGTCCATATGACCTTACAATTCCACTTTCAGTCTCTGGGTATCCCACGTTCTGTTGCAGCCCTTGATCTTCCCAAGACCAGGGGAACATTCCCCTAAGTTCCCAGGCATATGTAATGACAAATCTATGAATAACATAGACAAAAACTCTGGTTTTGCACCCAAACAAGTCTGATTAAGTCAACTGTTTGCTATATTTAATATAAACCCTGGATATAGGATCAGTCCAATTTCATGAATTTTCCCTAATTCTTGAAGGGGATTCATTAAAACTAGAAAGAAATATGATTTAACTTTCACATCTTTATGATTTTATGATAAATAAGTTCATGAGTAAGAATGTCCTGGGTTTTTGCTGAGGAAATGTGATCATCTTAATGATGTTCTAGGCAATTGTTCAGACTCTCTGGGGTGAAGGGGTGGGAAGGAAGGTATGGAGCAAGATGGGTCTCCCTCCTGCCATTTAAAAGGGCTTACTGCTGAGGCCATTCAACAGAACCCTGAACAAGCTCATCAGGAAGAAGAACCGGACACTCTGAAGAGGTCCTGTTTGACTTATTGTTTGCTTATCATCAGTACCAGCACCAAGCCTGAGACCTAAATGGCTCTTTAAAATAGTAACTTGAAAGAAGCAAAGGAGGCAGGAAGGAAAAAGGGAGGGAAGGAAGGAGGGAGGGAAGGAGGGAGGGAGGGAGAAAGGGTGGGAGGGAGGAGGGAGGATAGAAATGATAACAATGTGCCTCTCAGATCTCCTGAGAGTGACTGATGGCTTCAGCTGCCAAGCTCTGCATGCACCACTGAGGGTACCCTGAGTGGACACATCCCACATGACTCAACCAAAGGGTAAGCATGGTAGGGATACCCAAGGCACACAGTTTCCACAGAATGTGACATTTCTCTTGATGTGAACTTTGGCTCAAGGACTTCCCTTTGGCCTGGCCAAAGCTTTTAGAATTGCACTGCAGTCTGAGACTGTCTGTCCAACCCTCCTGCCTCTCTCTCTTCACAGGTGTGGGCCCTGCATCATGATTTAATGGTTCTCCCAAACTTCCTTGGCTCCTTCCTTCTTTTTTTTTTTTTATCCATCTCTCCCAATAAATCTAAAAGTGTCTTGGTATTTGTGTCTTGGAGTACTTAATCAACACAAGAGGGAAGGATTGAGAGAGGGAGGGAAGAACTGGGGCCACCTCAAAGTTCCTGAACTTGGAGTTAGGAAGACCATTTTCCAGTTCTGTCGGAGGAATGTGGTTAAAGTTAGAAGGACCTGCTTGACACACACACCCTGAGGCACTCTCTTATCCTCCTCTGTCCTGCTCTATGCCCAGTATCTTTTGGGCTCTTTCACCAGCTGGCTTCAGGATGGCTGGGCCAGTGGAAAGCACCATTAAAAGACTGGAGATCAGGGAGAGTCTAGGACCAAGACTCATTGTTCCTTCCTGTTTCAGGACTCCAAGTCTCCCAAAGATTGTGTTGCCTTATGACCACACCTCCTGTCAAGTGACTGCATTTCTGTTGGTCCAGCTGAGATTGCAGCAATCATAGGGTAGAAAAGCAATTTGAGTTTGTTGCTAGGTTGATTGTATGAATGGCCAATTCAAGGCTCTCTACAGCTCTCATAACTTCATAGTCTGACCCCAACCCTGGTCATGAGGCTTTCTTTGGCCAAAGGGAAAGTCAGAAACTGTGGTCAATGGTAAAGCAGAAGATTCAATAAATAAAAACCCACTTGATTGTTTCTACATCTACCATGAGATGGTAAAATTAATTAATTAATTAATTAATTAAAAAAAAAAACTCACAACATGATTGTGACCAGGATAGCTCCTGGAGAAGAAGGAGACACCAGTTTTCCTGGCTTCTAATTTTCCAGTTTTCTAAGGCTTTCTGTACTAGCCTAAGTCAGCCAACCTTCAAACATAAGAAAATGCTCGACCAAAAACAGCAGAGTCACCTACCAGAAGTTCAACTGACTATAGAACATGAGTGAGTCCAGCTGAGACCATGAGAACCATTTGGCAAACCCCAGATCATAAGCAATAATAAATATTCATTGTTTAAGCCACTGAGCTTTGTGTTGGCTTATTATCAGCATCATCATGATAATAGGCATCTGATATGATGCTTAATTATTTTTCATTCCAGGGAGGAAGAAAATTTCATCCCAGAATGGCTTTGTGATAAGAAGGAAAGGGATCCTGTGGAAGGAGGAGTTGGCAGGATTCCTTTTATCTTGTGATTAGGGCATAAAGTGTCACACCCCCAAAGATGGACCAGCAATTCAAAGACCTGATTTTGCCTTAATTTCCTTGGTCCAAACCAGATTTAAGTCAAGTGTTAGGGACCTAAGAAAGCCATTTTGTGGGGAGGAGACAAGAACAAAACTTCTAGGTTATTAGGCAGAGATATACTGAAGGGCAAATTTCAATGAGGTTCTTCTAAGAATTCCAGCAATGTAAGAGCCAGACCTGGGGGCGGATAAGGAACAAGTGAGTACAGTTCTACCCCACTAGCAAGGACCCCAGACAAATCTTCCCAGGTGGTCAGCATCCTAAGGAGGGGGGAAAACCCTGGGACTGAGAATCTCCAGGCAGAATTGGGCCCAGAGAAAGAGCAAAGGGGCATGGTTACATCTCCTATGAGTCTAAAAAGATTTGGGATTTTGCTTGTGATGTCTTCTCTCCCAGAGATGACAGTCATAACCTTTAAACACCACTGGGAAGTACATACAGACATAAAACAAGGCTAGGAAGGAGATCTGCATTGAAAGTCAAGAGAGACTACATTAATATAGTGAAAGGTGAGCCATGTGTTCAGGTTCTCTTTCAATACCCTTAAAATGTGGCATTTTTCAAACAACACTGTTACATGGTATCTCACAGATTTGTGGGTCAGGAGTTTGGACAGGCAACACTAGCTTGGTTATTCTGTTTCCAGCAACGCTGGCTGGTTATTCTGTTCCAGGTAGTACCAACAAAGGTCATTCAGTGGTATTCAATGGGCAGATGGGCAGAAACCAGCTTCACTCCCACACCTGAGTTGTGCTGGGATAACTAAAAGGCTAGGATCAGATGCAGCATGTGAACTATCAGACTTCTTGTGTGGCAGCTCAGGACTCCTAGAGAGAGTGTCCCAAGAGTTCTAGGGCAAAGCTTCAAGGCTTTGTATGATCTGGCTTTGGAAATCCCAGAATGTCACCCCCAATTTTCATCCAAACAAATCACTTAGACTGGCTCAGATCCAAAGAATAAGCCATGAGATGAAGCTGCTCAATAGGAGGAGGAGCAAAGGATTTGCAGCCACCTTTCAACCACCAAACTACGATATCAACAGGCTCCGAGGCTGTAAATCACTTTAGTGACTCTCTGAGCTTGAGTCTAAGTTTGAACAATAGAAGCTGGTACTTCTCCCCCATCTCATCTAGGACTACTCCATTTTATTCTATACTTAATATTGTGATTTTCAATATCTTTTATTGAGATAAAAGGTTACCTCTGATCAGTAACACAGCCCCAGGACATCACAAAATTCCATTGTTTGAGTTTATAAAATATATAAAAATGACAGCACTTCTCTAGTGCTATGGATTACTTCACAGAGATTTAAGTTATTATTGTCATTTAGTATAAAATAATTCCTACATTTGTAGAACATATCCTTCCTCAAGAAAAGAATGACTATCCATTCAAAATATAAATAATTGTTTGATACAATTATCAATGAGACAATCTTATACTATGAAGAGGAACCGAGTTGAAAATAGAGAAAGAAGCTTCTATTATCCTAAAAAAAAAAAAAAAAAAAAAAAACCTTTCTCTGCTTTCATTATAATATATAATACTTTAATGCATTTCATTATTTCTGGTTTTATATAACTTAATAAAGTGATAAAATATCACTTTACAATTAGTTATTTCCATCTCAATCACCAAGCTAAATATGTCTTCCAAAAAGAAGACATGTTAATTTTAGCTTTGACATTTCAGTGAATGCATAGAACAATCCCTGAAACCTCAAGAAAATATTAGCATTGCAATGCATATTTACTTTCTCCTAAAATAAATTAATCAAGCTTTGTGCTATTTAATGCCTGGATTGGCACTTGCGGTCTCCTTGGCACAATACGTGAGAGGTGACAACAGCATTCGAAGCATCCTGAGGGTTAGGATTCCCCCACAATTCAGAAGACAACAGAGATGCCCTCCCTGGCTTGCTAGATTTCACAGAATATCTCTATATTAAAGTTTCCATGCACTCAGGTAAGTATATTAAAGTTTTACAATTAGAGAATTTAACTAAACTCATCTTCACAAAGTAGATAAATGGCCTTTGAAAGAGTTCTGGCAGAGAAAGTATGAATGGCAAACAAGAAGAAGAACGCAAGCGACAATAAGATAAGAAAATGAAAAATTACAGTCTCACTTTTTCTACTCTGGTGAGCTCTTCTTCAGCTACATTACCAATGATGATATGAAAGCTAACCAAAAAAAATCAAATTATTCAGACGCTATTTCAAAAATTGGTGGCCATCAGTCAACATCCTTCACAATTAACTTACCCTAAAGGCATATTCACTAATGTGTATTCATCTAGTAGTTATGGAGACATTTAAAATTCTGTTTCATTTTTATCTCCTCCTTTGAAATTTTTTGTTTCTGAATATATTTGGTAATTGCTGTACATATTTTCACAGAAGCCTTTATTTATATATGTAATTTACAAATAGATAAATAAAAATACAAATATTATACATGCCTCTTCACAATTATTTGACCAATAAAGGACAGACGAAAAATATTTGCAAAACCCTATTGGAAAGAACAGACAGAAAGCAAAGACAGTGGCCCAAAGAGGTGGAGAGAACAGAGGGTGGGGGCAGTAGAGCAGGTGACTTGTGATGGGCCTGGAAGAACATCTCCTAAAAGGAATGTTTGAATGTCCATAGCTTCTAATTGGTCATCCCCACCTAGGCATGTGTTACCATGACTTCCTGTTGGTCTCCCCCCTAATCCCTTCTAGCCCCAAACCCAGAATAAGAGCTCCAGTCCAGGGATTCAGTACCACTCATCTCCATACCATCAGCATCTATTGCAAAGGCCTTCCCAAGAAAAGATTCTGTGTCCCTTACCAAGCCTTTGATTGCAAATATCCTTTGGGGCCACCCTATTCTAATGGTCCTCATTAGCACTGCCTAAAGGGATTTCCTTTAAACAAACTTGCTAAAATTAAGGGAAAAAAATTTAATGAGAACAACAACAAAAAACTTCCAACTAAGCATGACCACAAAAGGTATTTCTCCATAGTTGAAAGAAATTATTCAATTGGTCTGGTCTTCCTGGAGAGCTGTTGGGAAGTATATATCAGCATGTACAATGTTCAGACTCTAAGCTCATAATCCCACTTCAAGGAATTTACTTTAGGGAGGTCATTGAACAAAAGCAAAATGTGATACAGCAGGTAAAGCAGATTCCATTATACGAACATATAACAGATATGAATTTGGTGATCTGTGATTACAACAGAAAGAAAGAAAGAAATGAAATCATTTAAGTGTGTGATTCAGAAACACTTCTACCTAATGAGCCTGGACCCAGGACAAGCTTGATGTAGAAGACATAAATCTCTTGATCTTTCAAACTGATCTCGGCTCCTAAATGTCTCCTAGAAGAAACATTCCATCCTGCTGTGTGTAAAGCTGACATCTACAGACACATGACCTATAACATACAAGCCAATTAGAGAATCAGTGATAGGTTCCAATTCTCAAGGGGACATAAAGTGAGCTTATGAGAAATGCTGGACTAGTCTCTTGTGTGGTATGTCCTAGGGATCTCTACTGAATTCAGAGAGGGTGATCATAGCACTGCCATAAAAACCTAGTGAAAACTTGGGAATCCCCCAATTGTCCATAAATAGTTCAATGATATTCAATGAACTACAACACTTACATTCAATAAAAAATTAGGAAGCCACTAAAAAATTTTTGATATTTATTTATAAGAATGTAAAGATTAAGACATCAAGTGATAAAAAGCAGATTATATAGTAGTGTATGCAGCATGATCCCATTTATATAAAATTATAGTCATATAGCTCTATATAGGTATAACCTATCTAAATATAGCCTGAGAAAAATGCATAGATGGAAGTTCATCAAAACATTAGTAGTAGAAGTCTCTGAGTGACAATATTTTGATCAATTTGGAGATTCTCCCTCCTCTGATTTAAAAAAAAATACCAATAAGCATTGTAAATACACAACAAGGTTATTCCCTAATGATTCCATGGTTATTTCCACTCTTACATAAGAATATGGCTCCCCACCCTGACCCCCAATTACCCTTGATTATCGCTGTCTGGGATTTGAACAGGAGGCTGTTGTAAGTTACTTCACATAACTCAGTGTGACATCACCTCTGCTCCTCTTCAACACTGCATGTTATGCTCAGATGTAGTAACTCCTTCACGGGTGCTTGTGGGGTGAGCTGTTGTCAAACATCCAGCTGCATCTGTGCCCTGGGACCCTCTCTCCCTTAGGATCCAGCTTAGGTTCTGCCCCCTCTCTGAATTCTGTGATCTTCCATTACTTCTGGGTTATCTGGCTTCTTCCAGGTTCCCAAGGGAACAGTTCCTTCCTGGAATTGTATCCTAATCCCCAGCCCTGTATTATATCACAATGTATTACAATGTCTTTTTATTTGCCTGTTTCTCCAACTAGACTGTGAACTCCCTGAGGGCAAAGATTTCACTTCATTCATTTTCATAGCCCCAGCCCTGGAACAGACCTGGCTCATGGTGGACATTTAACACATGCATGCATGCTGAATAAGTGAACGGGAAGGAACTGAGGTGGAACTGCAGAATGTGTCGTGTGAATTTCATAAAATGACCATGTATAATTCTTTTCCCAGTTCCTGTTCTTCTCCCCTTCAGAAATACACTTTTGATTTGTCCACAGCTGAGCCAAAAGTCACTACTGTCAGCTCGCCTTATTTGTGTGTTCCACAGAGTCAACCAACTGGGGATAAAAAATATGCAGAAAAAAAATGCATTTGTATTAAACATGTACAGACTTTTTTCCTTGTCATTGTTCCCTAAACAATAGAGTATAGCAACTATTTACATATCATTTACATCATTATTAGGTATTATAAGTAATTTAAAGGTGATGTAAAGTATATGGGAGAATGTGTGTAAGTTATATGCAAATACTAAGGTATTTTATATAAGGAACTTGAGTATCCTCTGATTTTGGTATCTGCAGGAGTCCTGGAACCAATCATGTTATATATACCAAGAGACATCTTTGCCTTTGTTTTAGATAGGACTATATCAGTAACAATTCAAGTTAGTTTAGGATTAAAAAAGAAGAGACAAGGGAACTATGTTGGCCCATTTAACCAGGAAATCTAAGGGTGAGCTTGGCTCCAGGCATACCTAGATTCAGAAATTCAAGAATGATCTGCAGGACCTTCTTCCTCCCTCTTCCCCATTGCCTTGGTACTAACAGTCTTCTGAAATTTTGCCTTCATTCTCTCCTATTCTGTAAATGCGTCTTCCCAAAGTAACTAACCAGCAGCCATCTTTTTTTCTCCAATTTATATCCATGTTGCTTTCTGACCTAAAAGACAAGACACTTTCTTTACCAAATTCAAAGTTCCAAAGAGAAAGAAAAAAAACAAAGGTCCCAGGAAAGGAAACTAATGGGTCCAGCTGGGGTCAAACGCCCATTCCTGCTCCCAGAAAGCAGTCAGCCCTGTGATTGGCAGATCAAGACTGTCCCGCCCCTTCCTCCAGGCATAAAAAACTCTGATTGGCTATATGCTGAGTCACATGATTGTGAATGGACCAACGTTTTAAAGCACGGAATGGAGGTTGCTAAACAGAAGAAAAGAAAAAGAAAAACTGATGTCTTCTCCAAAATACCTCAGAAAAGTGACCTTCATAAGATTCCCCATTGCTGCCTGGAAAATTCGGGTCTGATCTTTGGGCTGGGGGGGGGAGGGGTGCAGGGGGAGGATCCTCGTGTGGAATCAGTTTCTCCCTCTGCCTGCCTGTACCCCTCTTCAAAGAAGATTTTGTTTCCCTTATTCATGTCCCTACCAAAGCGACCCTGGGTGGCCAGACTCTCAAGACCCCTCAAAGCCTGCAGCCAGACTCTACAAGCCAGCCCAAGCCCCACCCTCTCCAAGAAGCCTCTCACCACAGGGCCCCCAGTAGCTCCAAGCTGTGTCGTGCCAGCCCCAATCAAACCCAGGCCTCAGGGCCAATCCCAAGGCCAGCGTTACACTGCTCCAGGGGCTACCTCCTGCCAAAGTGTTATCGTCAGGCCTCTGTTCCCAAGGCTTCACCTTGGGAAGACTGGTGAGTCTTGTCTGAGCCTGGCTTTGACAGCCCGGGCCCCTGGCCTGCCTGGGGGCTGCTGATCAAGGGTACTTTGTCAGCTCCAGCGCACCTTTAAGGAGCTAAAGTGCGTACTGAATGGAGGCGGCTGCAGAACTCCTGGCCTGGGCAGGCCCTCTGCGTGTTTGGGTAAAGAAATATGCAGCCTGAGCTGCGGTCATTGCCGCCTGAGCCGCTGAGCTGCAATCAACATCAATACCACAAGGACACAATATTTTCTCCCGATTTACAACACGTTCATTTATTTTGGAATTTCTGTGCCAGCTGAGGCTACAGGGCGGTGACAGTGGAAAAGTTGTCCTGGGGCCAAGCAAAAGAGAGTGTTGCAACTGAGCTCCTGTTCTGAAAAGGGGTGTTCGAAAGCAGCAAAAAGCAAGCAGGGCTAAGAGGATGACCTTCCACAGACAACAGCCCACAGGCCATAGGTACCCTGAGTGGGGGGGATTGGAGATCCTGAGCTGCTCCTGCCATGAGGATCTTCAGATAGGCTATTGGAACTCAGGGTTCCTGAGAAATTCTTGACCCTCTAGAAGTTTCCATGATACAATCTGATCTGCTTTCTTTCTCAAAAGTCCCTAGGGAGTCAGAGATCATGTGACTTTGAAGATGTCCCCACCACACCACTCCCCTACCCAAAAGTAAATTTTATTGGAAAACACCATGCAGAAGTGAAAGTGATATGACTTAAAGTAAAAAAAATAAATAAATTAAATTAAAATGAATTCAAATTGTTCAAATTGACACTTACTGAGTGTCCTTAAGCAAATGTCTTAGGTCTCCTAGTTTCAGTTTTCACATCTGTTTTTAAGTGGACTTGATAATATCTAACGAGTGAAATTGTATGGGAAGTAGGGCAATTTACTGAAGTACACAGTACAATACTCAACTCTTTGTGGGTACTCTCTACATTATAGTTCTGTTTCCTTTGTCTTCTTGAGTTTTTTTAACACATAATAATTGTACATAATAATTAATGGGTTTCACTGCAATCTTCTATATGTGCATATGTCATGCACTGATTATGTTCATCCTCCTCTCCCTAATTTTGGGGTGTTGGTTTGTGTGCGTGTGTGTGTGTGTGTGTGTGTGTGTGTGTGTGTGTTTATTTTATTGGCTCACTTAGATATTCCCCACGAGGCTTTATGATGTACCAGTAAAACAGACCAATACAGTACCAGGAGGGTAGATCTATTTATCAGGCTCCTTAAGACTGAGAACTTCTTCAGGTTGAAGGATGGTTCATTAAAGGAGGTGAGCAGTGGATAAGGGAGAGGACAGAACCCACTGTGATGTGCAAAGAACAGCATCCCCAACTGGAAGCATAAGGGGGACCCACTTGATCATAAGAGGACTTCACAGAGGTCAGGCTGTTCCACACAGGGAGACACTTGCAGCTGTCATCTGGAGCTGTCGTTCCACAAGACAGCCTACTTCTCCAAGGAAGCAACAGCTCCTCAGCTTGAAGCTAAGGAGAAGGGAACCCTGAGTACATCATTCCGATCCTACTGAGAATAAAATTGTTGCCTGCTTAAGGGAAGTGACCACTCAAGATGTTGAGGCTTGGGCTGGAGGTGTGGCTCAAGCGGTAGCGTGCTCGCCTGGCATGCGTGCGGCCCGGGTTCGATCCTCAGCACCACATACCAACAAAGATGTTGTGTCCGCCGAGAACTAAAAAATAAATATTAAAAAAATTCTCAAAAAAAAAAAAAAAAAAAAAAAAAAGATGTTGAGGCTAGAAAGAAGCAGAGCAAGGTTTTGGAACCAAGTTTGACAGATCATAATCTGGTCATCTTATAATGAGTTTTAGCAAGGATGACTAGATACAGTCAATTCTCATTTTAAGTTATTTTTTAAATTTTTTTAAATTTTAATTTGTTATATATGACAAAAGAATGCATTACAATTCATATTACACATATAGAGCACAATTTCTCATATCTCTGGTTGTAAACAAAGTAGAATCACATCCTTTGTGTCTTCATATATGTACTTAGGGTAATGATGATCATTGCATTCCACTGTCTTTCCTACCGCTATACCCCCTCCCTTCCCCTACCTCCCCTTTTTCCCTTTGCCCTATCCTCCCACCCCATCCCACCCTACCCCACCCCACCCCAGCATATTATGATTCAGCATCCTTAAATCAGAGAAATCATTTGGCAATTGGTTTTTTGGGATTAGCTAATTTCACTTAGCATTATATTCTCCAGCTCCATCCATTTACCTGCAAATGCCATGATTTTGTTCTCTTTTGATGCTGAATAATATTCCTTTGTGTACAGATACCTCATTTTGTTTATCCATTCATCTATTGAAGGGCATCTAGGTTGGTTCCACAGTTTAGCTATTGTGAATTGTGCTGCCATAAACATTGATGTGGCTGTGTCCCTATAGTATGCTGTTTTTAAATCCTTTGGGTATAGACTGAGGAGAGGGATAGCTGGGTCAAATGGTGGTTCCATTCCCAATTTTCCAAGAAATCTCCATACTGCTTTCCATATTGGCTGCACAATTTGCAGTCCCACCAGTAGTGTTTGAGTGTACCTTTTCCCCCACATCCTCACCAACACTCTGTTGTTTGTATTCATAATAGCTGCCATTCTGACTGGAATGAAATGATTTGCATTTCTCTAATTGCTAGTGATGATGAACATTTTTTCATATATTTATTGATTGATTGTATATCGTCTTCTGAGAACTGTCTATTCAGGTCCTTGGCCCATTTATTGATTTGGTTATTTGGTTGGTTTTTTTTTTCTTTTGGTACTTAGCTTTTTGAGTTCTTTATATACCCCAGAGATTAGTGCTCTATCTGATGTGTGAAGGGTAAAGATTTGCTCCCAATTAGTAGTCTTTCTAGTCACCTCACAGATTGTTTCTTTGCTGAGAAGACTTCTATCTATCCCATTATTGATTCTTGATTTTAATTCTTACACCAAAGGATTATTATAAAGGAAGTTGGGGCCTAATCCCACATATGGAGATTAGGGCATACTTTTTATTCTATTAGATGCAGGGTATCTGGTTTTATTCCTGGGTCTTTGATCCATTTTGAGTTGAGTTTTGCACATGGTGAGAGATAGGGGTATAATTTCATTTTGTTGCATATGAATTTCCAGTTTTCCCAGCACTATTTGTTGAAGAGGCTATCTTATCTCCAATGGCACCTTTGCCTAATATAAGATAATTGTAGTTTTGTGGGTTAGTTTCTA